AAAGCTATGTGCGAAACAAAAAATTTTATTTTGTGTTTATGACTTATTTTTCTGTAAGAGACAATTTCTTTTTCATTGTATCATCCTTTTTAAAGTATATTCACACTATCACTGGAAAATTGTCGACCCTGACGCGACATACATAAATAGCATGTATTTGCGAGTAAAGAGTTAAAGTTTCTCTTTCAACCGGCATTCAGCGAAGACTACATTGGACGCGTTGCGTCGGAATGCTCGTGTCGGAATAGTCGGCGCTCTTTTCACTCGGTCCATTGGCCGTTTCCATTCGGTTTCCACAGAATTCCATTCGCGCGCAAATCCTCTGTTTTTCCTCTCTATGCCGTACCTTTTTTTCCTCCCTTTTCTCAGTCGTTTTGCAATCTGCGACTTTTGACATGTGAGCTACAGTTGAGTCGGACGCATAAAAACCCGACCCATGAGAAGCATCGACGCAGAATATCAAGTTTAATTTAACAAACTCGATCAATCCGACAAACGAAGTGGGTACGTAGAATGTGTCGTTAACGTTTGTAACCCATATACGTGTTTTTGCGTTCTTTTTCCTCTTTTTTCCCCCTCTTTTTCTGTTTTATTTTAGGTAACTATTGGACGATTCATCGGCTCGTGAAACATTCGCGCCCATCAACATTTGTTTCCGGTTTGTAACAGTGCGCAGCTTTTTGCAGTTTTTAAATGCGATTTTTGAGATAAACTCTCTCGAAAATATTACAATACGATCTCGAGTATGTACTCGACAATGAAAAAACGAAAGTCTTTCGATGTGAGTTGAAATAACGCGACGAGATCATCTAGTTTTTATTTGCGTTTTTCAAGTGATAATTTCCAAAAATTCTGCTCTTTATCCAAACTGTAGTTTATTACAGCGGTAGTTCTTTTCAATCGCAAAAGCTGGATTTTATGCAAAAATATGAGAATAATATCACGGTGGAGGTTGAAGTCAATTCGCGAGTTGTTCCCGTTCGGTCATACAGTTATCAAATTTGAATAATCGAATGGATCGGAATGCCAGAGATGCAAATGATTCGACGTACGCGCGATAATCGATAACTTCTGTCAAATGTCGCTTACACAATGGTACGCATCGGATAGCATCCTTTTGCGTATTAACGAAAGCGAAAAATCGGAACTTCCATTAACGATAGAATCGATACGTTGTAAAAAATTCACTACATTCACGCTCACGCGCGCAATTCTCGCTTGTTCTCGCCAATCGGAGATTTCCGTTCTGATTCATTCGATGTATATGTATGTATGTGCAGAAGCCGGGTCGAATCGTAGCAAGTCATTCGTCTGTCGCTGCGCGTCGCGCTGCATCTCGTTGCAATCAGCCAACGCTGTGGCGCACCGACGTAAATGCGCTAACACATCGACACATCGATCGTAAAGTGAGAAACTGCAGTGTCTGCATTTATTGTCGGCGACGACAACACACGACCATTTGCAGCCGCAGAGCATGTACGTCGTCGTAACGTTTCAGTACGCAATCCTTCGCTTCTCGGTCGATGCACCTATGGGTAAGTTAAATTCGCGATAATTTCCGTGCTACGCGAACAGCAAAACTATGGCGAAAATAGAATCTTGCCTTCTAAATTTCTTGGAGTGCAATCTCACTCCAAAAAAGTTTAAATACTGCCATTATTAAAAAAGAGTGAAAAATTTGCACTCTTTAATAAAGGCAGATTTTTTACTCTCTTCTTTAGAGTGGGATTCACTCTAAAGGAAAGAAATCTCACTCCTTTTCTGAAGTGAATTTCATCCAAAAGTGGAAATCTCACTCTAAAAAAAGAATAAAAATCACTTTTATTTAAGGGTGCAAATTTTTCACTCTTTTTTCATAGTGGCAATATTTTAACTCTTTTGGAATAAAATTTTACTTCAAGAAATGTAAACAGTATGACTTCTCCGAAGCTTCTTTATGAAATAAATAAACAAAGTATTTCTACCGTAAGATTTATTTATTATATTATAATAGGAGCGAAAATATATTAACTTTACGCGTATAATCGTACTGTAAGACGCAAAAAATCGGAATGGATTGAATAATACAGAAAAAGATTTGTCACTAAACAATGGTTCTCGCACTTTTCTCGAACACCATAATGTAAAAAATCTCGTCGAACCTTTCCGATATCGATTAACTACGTTTCGCACCGATCGTGTGCGCGCACTGCGCGCAAACGCAATTGAAAAAATATCAGGGAAATGGAGTCGTACAGTTTATGACGGTCGTCGTTGCAAACAAATAACCCGTTTTCATTGTGGAATATTTTTAACAGGAATATGCATCGTATACGATTTATTTTCAGCAAGTTTCGACAGAAAGTCGGAACAGATTTCAGCTGGACCATATTGCATGAATAATACTTGCTAATAAATTAAACAAAAAGGTAACAAAAACAGAATATTATAGACAATTTTAAAATATGCATTATGCTTTGTTATAGACATTTCATAACTATCGATTAATGACTATAAATAAAATGTCATTAAGCCACTGATATAATTTTTAAAATTTATATAATTAATAAAAACAAATCCAATTTAATAAGTACCGCTATCTAGATTTCTAAAGATATCTTTTAAAGTATCCTGCAATTTGTACTGTAATAGGCGCCTTATAAATTGCGCAGCATTGTCGCTCCCATGATAGATGAATCTCCTAAGCATCGTTATGAAGCTATAAACATAAAAGCAATTCGGAGCGATACGTCACAACGACACACCGCTCTGATTAAACTTCACTAACATGAAGTCATGAACTAAGATATTAGAGTTTAAAATTGCAATAAGTACTACAGATTGCTCTATAAAGCGTTACTCTGAACGTGACTGTTTATTTATTCTGAATGGAGCGTACGACGTTAATTTATATTTATTTTCCTTGGTTTGTATCAAATTTTATCGCATCGCATTACGTATTAATTTCCTTTTAAAATTCTATTTACTTCGGTAGATGAAAACGTCCCTTTTATTTTTGATTATGTTGGTTTCTATGACAAAATAATTTCTATGACTCGTTTCTCTGATAAAATATAAAATTATAAAGACTGCACTGAAACTTTGGCTGTTACGCATTAGTTAGCGATCGGCTTACGATCTACCTGATTTCCGTCTAAATTTTTAAGAAAAAAGTTTTAACGGATGATTTATCGAAGCACGTCTGTAACCCCGTAAACTTTTCGCACTTTCCAGACTTAATACTTCCCCGAAATAAATATACTTCGACTCTCACCGGAATTTTTATAAGCTAAAACAAACGTGCTCTGGTAACGTAGACCACCGACGGATATTTTTTTCCATATTATACTTTCAAGTTACGATTTCCATATGAGAGAGCCGTCGAGTTTACGCCTGGATTGCAGAGGCACGACGATCCCGCCGGCAATAAAACCAGACTCTCGTTGCCTACATAATTTATCCGATGCTGTGCAAGGGCTCCTAATATTCATCCCATATGCGACAGCCATTGTTCTTTGTTATGCGAAATCAATTTAACGCGCTGCTCGAAGGTCGAGTGTCACTTTTCGCCGGTTAATTATTTATCGATTGATTTCATAAGAAAGCGAAATAGCACAGCAGTAGTACATGATAAATCAATCAGCCATTAGAAAACGAAATATATTTCAACAAATTCATTGCTAATCTCTTGTAACTTAGTACAAAATATTGCGAATAAAAATATCATAACAATACAGTATAGTAATTTGAAAAATATTATATAATTCTCTCGTGTATCCGTCTTCTTAATCTTGGCAATTTCACGTCGTCTAGACAAAACTTCTGATAAATGAAGAAAAACGGTGCGGAAATCCTTTTTCCGCGAGAACAAGTCGTCTCGTGTTGTAATGTGAAATATCGTAGGGGCATTTTTTCGCATCGCGATGTCAAACGATTGTACCTTGTCTTTCTTGTGCACGAGAATAAGGGAGCAAAATAATACGTCAGGTTTGATGACAGTTCAATGTCCCCATATCCTCAAACTGCTTGGTTCCATTCTCATAGATATATGTATGTATATATATATATATATATATATATATATATGTCTTTTCTCCTTTACCATAATCTCTCTGTCCATATTTGTACCTCCATGTCACTGTAGAATTGCAGAATGTGCAGGGTTGCAAAATACGTATACAGCTAATGTCACGATGCATCCATCATCTCGTCATCCGACAGGATGCAAACATGTATCAATGGGTTAGTCCAAAACTAATTTAAAAATAGCCTTGTAGTTTGTATAGAATAGTGCGCAAAAGAAATCTCAAAGAAAATATTTTAGTAACTATCGAAAAAAATATAAATTTAATAAACAATATTAAGTGAAATAAACCGAGAAGGAATTTAAGAATAAATAAAAGAGAAAAAAGCCATTTTGGTCGAAGCGAATCTTAACTCATATTTCATATATGATTCTCCATTAATTCAACTTCATTTCATCAAAGTGATCAATCGATTGTTGTTGTTGACCATGCTTTTGTTTCAATATAATTGTACTAAGTTATAATTATTGACACAATTTTATTTTGATTATTACTTTGAACCATGCATAATGAATATATCTCATACGTACAGAATTTATCTAGCCTAAGAACAATTTGAATGTTTGAAGATGTTAGATCGTTAGGATCCATTTACTGCTCCAATTCCCTTGAGATTAATCTAAGTGTAACGAACGTATGAACCTCTTCGTACAACTTGAGGTTCGGCATAATCGATATTAGCAATTTTGAGCCATATCCTAATCTCCAGCTCGTTACTTCTCCATCAACGTCGAACGCTTAGCCCTTAAGAAGAGGTCCTCATACAGAGAGTTCACGAATATCCCGTACCGATTTTCTTCGGGAATAATACCGCTCACATTTTCGAAACCCATCAATATATTTGTGAAAACAATGCGAACTAATATCTTTTAACGTATTTTTCCAACTGGAAGCCATCGTTCGTTAAATAATCTTTGTTTTCTCTGTTCTCCCCAGATACTATCGCGTTGTGTCCACTACCAAGTACTTCCAAGACGAGTCTCCAGCCGTCGTTGGATCGAACGCGAAGTATCGAGTGTATCAGCGAGAGTGGTTGAACGTGGAATAGGCGAGAGCGCAGCAGCGGCACGTGAGACGAGTGTCGTCGCTCGAGACACTTGTTGCACGTCGGCCGTCCCTTAAAGAGGGTCTGTCGGCGTCAATATCGGGCCACCGGGTATTTCCCCGGTCGCGAAAGAGGTACACGGACCCTGTTCGTCATCGATATCGCGGAGAGGCGAGAGTACGTAGAGTGTGCCGACGCTGACGAGGGTTTTATCGGTGAACGCACCATCGGGCCGACCGTAATCGCGGCATGTCGCTCGACGAGACGATCGCAGACGATCGCGTGGCGAGCGACGCGTGCCTCGTACGCCTATCGATTACCGTTCGCAAAAAGTGTACGCGTGCCGTCGCCACCATCACGATCGCGACGCACAGTGATCGTTAGCCTGTCAAGCGATCGGTGCCAGAAGCGACGTGTTCGACGGGTGTCACTTGGCATGCCGCCGATCGTCGTGCGACCTCCTTCGGTGGTCGGCCGTCGTCGCTGCTCTTCTTGTCGGTGCGTACGAACGCTCGAGCGGCTCGAATAACAATCGGTAGCGCGGAACCGGAGCACGAAAGCAAAGTACCGAGACGCGTGGCCCACGTGCCGGATCGAAATCGTGCTGAGGATCAAGAGAAAGCGATCATGTGCTACGCTCGGTGACACCGGTCGCGATCGTGCGCGGCGTTACCATTGGCGGTACACGTAGTCAGCAGAGAGCAGAGCTACCACTGCGGGGCGGCATCATCACGTGGTGAGTATATTATATTTGCTGAGTGCTAGGGAAAATAGTGGAAAAAAATAGTAAATATTTTCATTGTATTCAAATAGTAGATATTTTTGAAATATTAGATTCAATAGATATTTATTTAAAGGATAAACGCTTATAAAAATATTTGGAGTATTTTGCGTAGTATATATAATAGTAAATATATAATAGTATTTACTATTTACATTAACATTAACATTATTTGTCTTTTTTATATTTACTATGCAAAATATTTATTTCAAATATTTTACATAAAATATTATTCCAAATAGTATTTTTCATAAATCCATCCTTTAAATAAATGTTTGTATTGAATTTATTTCAATTTTTATTATATCATATCAAATAGAAGGGTATCATCACCCTTCTCTCTTATCTTCACCAGCTTAAGCATTGTATCTTATGTATTGTGTAAGAAACGACCTAGGGACCTTTCGCATCTGGACTTTAATCCCAATAATCTCTTCGGAGATCGTTGTTATATTTTGCTCCCATAAACAAGAATATATCATTTAACATATAAACAGCTACCTATATTAACGTATCAAAATATTTTATAAAATTTTTTTGTTTTGATTATAACTTTTACATTTTTATCTCTATCTACTTCTGACAATGAGTTGCAATTTTGAACATTTTTATCGACATGCGAAATATTTCATACGTTATAGTTATATATTTTTTCTCTTCAAAGCACTATACATGAACACGAAGATGAAAGGCAATCTATCATGCATTATCAAAGTTATCACATTCTTTTAAGCACAGCGCTTTGCTTCTTTCTAGTTAAAATCGATAAGATGAAAAGGTAGAGACTAAAGGAGATGTATGTGTCCGACTGATCATTTATCATAAATGTCTGTCGGAGCTAAAAATGGTCAAATTTTTATTCTGCACAAGCCAAACTATTACGTAGCTTCAGGCAAACGGTGAATTTCAATCTTGTGTGAGTGATTTGTTTCTCAAAGCAATCATTCATACTCTGTTTGGCGCGACAAGTAGATATAGCCTCGTATGGTCAGACGGACCCGTTCAGTAGTCTGTTAATTACAATTTAGATCGTTTATCGACTGTGTGATTATTGCAAATGTTATAATATAGTAAATTCATTTGTATTAAATTGCTGCATAAATTCTGTCCAGTATCTGAAAAAAATCGTGAAAATTAACACTAAAAGTACCAATGTTTTTTATTCTCTGACGTCCATTTCTACCAATATAGATTAACTTTAATCTTGGTTTAATTTATTTTTATCTTTTTCTGATTCTGAACAAATAAAAAATAAGTAATAAACCGAGATTAAATAAAGTTAATCTTACATTGATAAAAATCGAGCCTAAAAGGACCAAGGAAATAAATTACTATCAAGATAAAGAAAATGATGAAAACCCAAATATTTTATCTATATAGATATAATATTAAAAAGTTAAAAATTTCAGAATCCTATTTTTTACACAAAAAATGTAATATTAAAATAAAAATAGGAGCGATTAATGACCGCATGGTACTTTTAGTATTGAAATCGTGCGCGCTTTAATAATATAGTCAAAATACAATAATAAAATATAAATTACAATTTACTTCAATTCAGTTATACAATATTATAATATTTTAATAAAATAGATACAGTAAAATCATTCGTATAATACATGTATAACACACAAAAAGTGCGCAAAATTTCAACGTTTGCAAAAGTCCTTGCTATAGACATAAAAAATAAATCCGGGAAGAATACAAAGAAAAACAATAAACTATCACAAATCTCGCTGGCAATGCAATACGATCTCAAAATACACGATGTCTACGGAAACTGGAACTTCGGAAATTCTGTTCTCACTAACAGACAACTTACACAGCAATTTAATACCATCATAGCTCAACGATTACAAGCGTGCAATTTTTAGGTGGATCTCCCCGGGCGTGTACTCGGGCGGTTTTGGCTAGGACAAGAGGAAACGAAGACCGGAAGGCTGGATCACCTCCGTGGAATGTCTTCAGGCGCCAAGCGACTGGTGCAGTCGCTTAGGGGCCGGACCGGGGGCAGGGGCACCGGCGGCGGTCGTTCCGACGCCGGTGCCGGGGAAGATAGCGGCGTCGGGGGTGGCGGGGCCAGCACCAGCGCGACGAGACTGTGCCATTACGACAGCGGGCATGAGCTCGACGAGATCTCGGTGATCGGGGCTACCGTCAGGGACAACGAGGGACTGACGACGCCTACTACGCCGTGTCACTGCAGAAGTATTAAGTACGGTAGTGGACAGACGCTTTGCAGCATCGCCGGATTGCCGCCCGCCCCCGCCATACCCGCGCACAGAGCACAGTCCGGTGAGTTCGACTATTGTCTTTTCAGCTTTTATCGTCTGTGTGTGTGTGTGTGTGTGTAGACTCGCATTTCAAATCATCGTGTATCGTTTTGTACGAATTATAAACGTGATCTGACGCCAATAAAATATATTGTAAGAAACTTTAACTTCTCTACGAGAATAATCTTCTTTTTGAAAAAGTTGTATCATTTACAATAAACAAAATATTAAATAAATGTAAAACTACATGGATAAAATTTGTGATATTTTCTTAAAACTAATCAAATAGAATCATTAATAAGATAATATTTGAAAATAAATTCTGAAAATGTTAAAAAATGTTGCAAAATATTTTCATCGCCAATTTAAGTTTTTAGACAAAAGTCTAAAAGACACGAAACTTATTTAAATCTGGATATCTCAATTATTAAAATTAATATTGTCTTCTTAAAGTAAAATCCCTTCTTAAAGCAAACAGAATTGAAACTGATTATAAATTGAAAATTCAATCCTACCGATTGATTTTTTACATTATGTAACTATAGTAGAATTTCTACATTTTTTTAAAATTTAAACGTAATGCAATACATAATACAATATTGTAATAGATTTTCAATGTTTTATTTGCGGGGTTTATTTGACTAACCTTTTCAAGATATTTTTAATCATGGCAGCTTCTGTTTCTTTTATAACAATCCGTAGATTCATACATATCTATCTGTATACAATACTATTTGTCATTGTCACCATAAATAAATTGAAAAAAATGTTAGCAATAAATTGCATATGGTAACACATTGTCGAGAACGAAAAAGCACACATTACTTACTGATTACAAGTCTAAATCGTGTTTCATTTATCTTCTTTCGAATTTTTCGAAAATGCACGTAAAATTTATGAACCCAACCTCGTATGTCGCGTAACTTTGGACTTTATTCCGAAAGTCATATTTCGTATGACTGTGGGGATAAAGTCCAAAGTTATGTGAATATAGACTATAATATAAGGTTACCCATTTTCGATTCAGTAAGTTGGATAGCCTTTCGTTGCAAGAGAGCATAGTCGTCGACTGCAGCAATGCAGTAACGTAGAATTATGTAACGACGCACGTAGAATGGTTGCAAGCGGCAGAAAAATGCAGACAAGCTGACCGCGGGAAACCATTGATTTTTATTATTGCGCGTATTTCTCTCGCGCCTTCGGACAATCACGAAGTCGCTGTTGATTCGTTCGTTGTGCACACCATCGTTCTCGACACTGCGGTCCAGTCTGCAACGAGATATTTATTGATACAATGCAAAACATATTTACTATGTTTTGTTAGCGCGAAACCATAAACTAGGCCGGAATATTTCACAAAACGTAACGTGATGCTCGTTCGTATCTTCGCATATAACTTATTGCGCTCCATAAACAGTCATAAATTCTCGTTCGCGTCTGTAAGAAGCAGAATTTTTACTTAGAAAACGCGTCTCTCTGTTTTATACTTAGCCTCGCAGCACTTTTTTAATCTCTTCGCTTTGCGAAAAGCAGCGCTGCTGGTCGGTCTTTTCTCGAGATTTTCCTCTCGAGCGAAATATACAATTCTACCTGCTTCTCGACGGTCTTTATCACGATCTCACGTCTATAATTCCAACCGACGGAATATCTATGCCAGGATCTCTTGCATCACACGTGTAATTGCGAAGGTATTGTGTATATTGTAACATTCAGAGAGGGAAAATGCATGCCGCGATTTTGCTGGCAACCTATCTGACAAAATTGCGTCTCTTGACTTGAACATTAAACTAGACTAAAATATTAACCTTCAATGTGCAGTCATATTTTTACTCCTTTTATCTGCAATCTGTCTTTTCCTGTCGAGTTCAACTTTTTTTTACTGTTCTACACTTTTCTGACTCTCCTTTAAACAAAATTTACACTTTCTTTTATAACATTTCTATTTTACATTTCCAAATAGATTTTTTAAGTCTAAATGTGTTAAAACTTTTATTTAATAAAATTTAAAATTTGAGCGAAAATAAAAGTGAATTTGAGAATGAAATTTCGCTTGTACCAAAAAAGATCTGAATTGTAGACGGAAAGTTAAGTGTATTTTTCTGCCTTATCGTCATGTATATAATTAAGTTTTATTCAAGATAAACAAGATATTTAAATGAAATGCAGGAAAGTCGTAATAAAACACGTTTCCGCCATTTCGTTTCAATCATATTAATCTCTTCTATTTGCTACTAAGTAATATCTGATCTCGTAGAATGCAAATGTTAATAATTGCTTGTTGATGTCTGCTGAATAACTGATTGTGTAATTACTTTTTCTAATTTACATATAATATTTTAAAATTAAGCATTTGCATATTATATATAAATACGAAAAAAGGAGTATGTTGGAAATGAAAAACAAACAAGTATATACATATTATACGCATATACAAAGGAAATATATCAAATTATTACAAATGAAAATTTATACATGTTCTCATAATCATAATGTAACACCAAAAGTTAAGCATAAATTCAGAGAAAAGAAAATGTATATAATTGTTTGCATGCCTGTCAGCGTAAAGAATAAAAAGTCCTTTATTAATTACATTCTTAGAATATTCTTATAAGGTTCCTTAAGACTAATGGATCGGAAAAGCAGCGCGTTTCAGGATTTTACGTAAATCTTACGATACAGCTAGAAGGGTTTCGATCAACTTTGACGCTATTAGAAGGAATAGCTGTTACTGTCTTTCGAGGAGCTTAATGCGCGCTTTGACTTATCGTCGGAAGAGGCACCTAAGAGGCTGTAGTTCGAAATTCGCGTTTAAACTGTAAGATTAAAGTACAAATTCGAAGGTGCTTTAATATATTAATGATGATCGCGGCTATTACCTGGTAGTCATGGTGATGGAAGAAAAAGAGGTGATTTTCGTAATATTCCTTGCAGACTTGGACATAAAATTAAGATTGCCATTAAACGATCACGATGATGGTGCAATCCGAGCGATTGTTGTGGATTTCGGCAATATCTTCGATCGTAAACGCGAGAAGCTTTATGTCTCCCTTTGAGTTCCGTTACACCAATGATGGCACGACGGAGGCCGATAATACTAATCCGCTAATCGACAGTCGTTGGGCCCTGGCATCAGCAGTAGTTGCCGATGATATCGCGGGAAATTTACGAGCAACGGATTTCGATAATGGTCGATCTGATTCGTAGACATCTCCATTCTTTTGACCTAATTACGGACATATATGCGAAAAATCGATAAAAACCGCTACTGGTGAAAAACACTTGTTCTATCAGCCTTTGTTAAACGAAACATCGTGTGCAGATCTTGAAAGCGAAAGCGCAAAAAAAAAATCGAAACATAGCTTGAGTTGTTGGCTGACACCGTCAGAGACGTGAGCTTTAAATTATCGTGAAGAACGTTCAAGTTAAAGTGCCTATCAAAGAGCCTATCTCCATATGTCGATACCGTAATATTTTAACCGAGATAACAGAGAATGGAAAACTCGATCCATTAGCTTTAACTTCACAGACATTTCTGTCACGTTTAAATCACGCGTTCGTTTAAAAAATGTTTCGTCTGAAGATTTCTATAACTTACAAAATTCTTTGCCAAACAATTCGATAAAAATTTGATTTGTACAATATTTGTGAAATATTTCACTGCTCCGAATAAATCTTGCGAAATTTTTAACACGGATATGCTGTTAAATTTATAATGTAAAGTTATATAATTTGAGTTATTTTTAATTATTTATATTTATAATAAATCGTCATTGATTCTTTTTAATATGTTATTTAACTGAAATAATGGAGTAAACTGTTTAACTTAAGAACTGTATTAAAATTTATTTAAATTTAGTTTATTATTTACCAAGTGCACATATATTAATATGTATGTTGTTTGTTTTGGAATTAAGTAATTCAATCACAGAAATTGATTTAAATTTTGATACACATGGAAGTTGAAAATAAAAATATCATTTAACTCACAAAGAATTGGAAAAAGTAAATAAAGGAATTTAAGACTAATGGAGAGTACAACACGGTTAGTGATGTCGTAAGTTTTTTATTTTGCGAAAAGGATAATTTTATTAGGTCATCTTTATTCCAATTTGATTGTACGTTTCGATTTTCTTTGGAATCCTTTTCAGCAGATATAAAGATTTTGCAAGTGTTAGTTCAACAGTCCATTAAGAATAAGTCACTCACATATTCCCAAACCCTGAAGTGATATCTAATCCAATGAATTATGTAATGAATATGAAAAGGATATTAAGGGATTGAGTTGCGATTGCTTCTTTGATATCTAAAGAGCGATTTACACGGAGCGACTTTACTCACTTTCGGCAGCGACTAATGACGTCATTAATTCATCAGCGAATTTTCTCGACGCTGCTTTTATTCGCTTGAAGCAAGCTTTTTAAATTCGTCAGCGAATTCACTCGCAGATGAAAGCTTCCCCCACACAATTGTTTTTTTTCATTCGCTAGTGTCTAAAATTTTAAAGTCGCAACATCGAGTGGTCGCTGGTGATCAAACGAATAGCTGGGCAACTTTAGCAGCGTCAAAAGAAGCTCTAAAACGTTTGCTGAAAGCGAGTAAAGTCGCTCCGTGTAAACCGTTCTTAACAGTACATTACTTTACAAAGAAATATTTTCTTAAGAGAAACTATTTTCCGGAAATGCCAAAATTGATAGACAGTATATAATCTTCTGAATGTAACCTTCCCGATTTCCTCTTCTATAGAAACTTTAGAAATGTAAGATGATAAGAGATGGGAAGTTGCTAATGCCAGGTTGATTAACTTGAAAGTTGCCGGAGCAACTTACTACAACAATGGAGTACATTCTCCATTGTGTGACGGAGGCTTTTTTCCGATCCACTAACTTTTCTCACTATTAGAACATCGTTCAAACTGCGCGTGTCGCGCGATACAGGCTTGTATCCGAAAATCTTCAACAAGAAAACGGAGCAACTTTGCCGCGATCGTGGAAGTTCACGTGAACGGACGTCAATGCCGCTGGA